TCAAAACATCACAGTCAAAAAATTGGGGCGTGGCTTATACAAAGGGGGTGCTTATACATGGGGAAATACGGTAGTTAAATTTGCCCAAATCGAATGAGTAGATCTCATGATGCAGAGAAGGCCTTCTCATTTTCAACGTAACCGGTGATTTTAAACTGATCTTTGCGCATAGATTGGCAAAAATGATCATTCCACCATAGAGCCATGGGTCCCGGTTAGTCACAGAATTTCAGAGCAACTCATGACTTGATGGTCAATGAGGCAAATTCATATGCGCCATTCACATTGGCGGCGTTACAAGATCCACCGACTATCTTGAAAGTTATTCACTACCAATCTAGTTTTCAAAATTTATTTATAGTCTCCAAGACTACTCACTATGTAATAAGTAGTTATAATAGAACTTCAGGAATAACCATTTACTTCGTATCTATTAACGCTATCGCTCCAACTTGTCGTGTATACTTGGCCCTTCGCTGGTACCAAAATTTGATTATGCGCTCTGACATCTTCCACATCACGAGCTGGACCGGGCTCGAAATGTCTACAGGTAAAGCTATCTGTGATGCTGTCTCGGTCACTTAGAGGACGACGGCATCATAACGAGTTCATCTTTAGCAGCCTTCTTCTACAAATGGAATCAGGATAGAGGACGCTGTTGCTTCACACGACATTAGCACAATATTTGCAGTTGAAAGCATGCCTTCTCTCCGAAATTAGTCCAGCTTCGCGAAGCCGAGAAACCCTCGAGGCCTATTCAACTTCAGGAAGACTACCAACATAGTTTCCATGTGAGTCTGGCAATTTGGAGATTATCGTGTGAGCGACTTCCAGCTTGGAGGCAGGGATGGTGCTCTTCTCCCAGTTTTCGCGGCTTGACCACAGAATTTTAGCATCTACATTAATTATACTTTGTCCCCTCACTCTCTCTCTCTCTCTCGCTTCGAGTGACAACCTATCGCTTGCACATCTCACCCTGTACAGGCTGTCCTGATGCTCGT